CCCTTCGATCCCGACTTCCCCCATCTTCCCCTCGCTTCGCACATCATCTTTTGCCCCCCGCTGATTCCGACTCCCCCCGATACTTCCCCTCCTACCCTCGACCTCCATCCCGACCGATCGAGCTTCCCCACGCGATCTGCCCCCCTCCCTCTTCCCAAGCTCCTCCCCCGATCAGCCCCCGCCCGCACGCACGTGCGCACCCGGGCTTGGCTGGAGCGGCACTTCTGCTAGACGATAACGCACCCGGGCTTGGCTGGAGCGGCACTTTTGTTCGAAGATAACGCACCCGGGCTTGGCTGGAGCGGCACTTCTGTTCGAAGATAACGCAGGTGTCCTACGATGAGCCCACCGAGATCAGCAATCTCGTGTGGAGCAAAAGGGCAAAAACTCATTTGATTTTGATTTCCAGTACGAATACAAACGGCGAGAGCGTGGCCTATCGACCCTCAGGCGTTTCAGGACTTCAAGCTAGAGGTGTCAGGGATAACTGGCTTGTGGCAATCAAGCGTTCACAAGGACGCTGCTGGTTACCGCCATCTTCACGGGCAATCATCACCATCATCATCATCATCATCAACATTATCGCCGTTGTCCACGTCATCAGTGCGCATTTGATTCGGCGACCTCGTCGTTCCACCGGGGGAACGATCGAGAAGACTGGTTAGGGGTTGATTGAAGACCTTCCTCGACTAGGAGGAAGGACCTTGATTGCTCCGGCCGGGAGCGCGGTATTGTCAATCTATCTCCCTCCCACTAATCCGCTCCCTTCCTCTCGCCGGTCTCTCTCAAAGATCTCATCTTTTTCTGCATCTTTTATCTCCTCTCCAACCCCCCTTCTCTTCTCCACCCTCCCACCTAATTTGTCGCATCATCCAAAATTTTTAATATGTGTGACACATATCTTCCTTCTTTGCGCTTGCCTAACAATGCCGTTCATTCTGCTGTTCAGAATTTCAATATAATTTGATTGGATTAATCTTCATCTTCTTTTCCACCAACGTCGTGAACAGAATTAATTCTGACACTTTTTTTCAAAAGGTATGCGAATTTCTTTATTTTATCAGATTCTTTTTGTTATTTAATTCCAAAATTCAATTCCATTTGCAAGGAACATGAGTATGGACGAAGCACAGAAATCCAGAATGCAAAATCACACTGAAGTCCAAGTAGTCAAAGCCAAAGCAGATAGCACATGGAACCGAGTAACCATCCAA